GAATTTGAAAATTCCAATTAGTAAAAATTAAGGAACCGATTGGAGCGGGTCTTGAAAACTTTGGAAATCTTGGCGAATTTCCCGTAATATGATGATCTGCCCATTCCACATCTTTTTGAAAACAGCTATAACTACAAGTAATCGATTGCCAGGGAAATAAATGTCATCGCAAGTAATCGGGCATCCGGGTCACCAGATTATTTTCGGACGACCCTGATGTCCGGGTACCCGGTTGGAAAGGGTGTTTAGCCCGACGGGTCACGGTTAGAGATTTCAAGCCGGAAGCTTCAAAAGGTAGACATATTACCGAGTACGAGTTTCTTCGTTGTTGAACCTTGTTTACTTTTGTTTCGACTATTATTCGCAGCTACATAAGACTTTTAATAGGTACTCAGATAGTTTCGAGAGAGTAGAAGTAAAAAGTTACCTGAACGCTTAATGTTGGTCGTGCTTACTTTTGCGTAGTTAAGATCATTTAGACATTGTGTAAACAGTATTAATCATTTGTATAATAAAAATATATACTCGAATTTCCTGATTCACTACTTTCTGATTCACTACTTTCTGATTCACTACTTTCTGATTTACTACTTTCCGATTCGCTAATTTCTGATTCGCTACTTTCTGAATCACTTTCTTTGGAACTGGAAGATGACATTTTACTTGAACTTAATGGCTTATGAAGAACAAAGAAATCTTGGTTTGTGAAGCTTCCTGCACATAGAAAGACTTATGAAGCAAAAACACGTTCTGATGTCAAAACTAAAAGCACCCCCCAAATTTGGTAATGATCGTCGTAATTGAATATTTTTAAAATGCGTTTAAAAAACAGAAACGGAAAGGACTTGTTATTCGAGTGCACGAAGGGTTAATTAAAATAAAGAAAAAACGGCATGTAGCTAAGAGCTGGTACTTCGTGGGAAAAGCACAAAACAATCTCAAATAACGTTATGCAAAGAACCGAGTAATAGGTTAACTACGTTTTATATTCTTTAAAATATAAAAAATTATATCATAATATTATATATAACTAATTATCGTTTTTATTAAGTTATATTTTTTTACTAAATTTTACTATTATTATTCTAAGGTACAATATAAAAATAACTTGAAAGAATATTAAGTAGAAATAATAAATTTGCAAAGAAAACTAAAATAAATATAAGCTGAACTATGATTGGAATTTGACTATTTTTATAACATTCGATTCGTCTCAATGAGACGAATCGAACGATATAAAAATTATTAAATTCTAATCACTAGATCGCGAGATATCTTCGATCTTGTAAAATAAAAATTTTAAAGATCGTTATCGATTATA